AGTTGTTTATGAGCGGCGGTAATCATTTACCATCAGGTGAGCATATGCTCGTTTGCCCCCTATCCTTTAAAAAAGTCAATATGTTTTCTGTTTTAATTTAAAATCTTTTTCAAAAATAATGCTATAATCCTTGCAAATATAGAACGCTGCCTAATCTGTGCAAGTATAGAACAAGATAAAATTGACATAATTTTAAAGTTACTCTATGTATCTCGATCAAATGACATCTATTAATAACTGCAGTTCGGTGCCTTGGTTTTTCCAGTTCTATAACCAATATATTTTTAATAGATTTTCTTTTACAATTTATCGTTGTTTCCTTTGATTTTTAAGTACATTAAATATATCCAATAACGTTTCCAATTTTTGTAACAATCAAATATTTTATTAATACTATTTTATTAATGTTCATAAATACGTTTATTTTCTATATTTATCTAATTCCAATAAAGCATTTACTTCTAAAATAAATACCCGATTATAATTCAGAACGACGTTCGACCACATATCGGTAAACTATAATGTATTTGCCCTTCGTTTAAAAACCAATTCCTAAGCCGATGAAATACACGAGGAAGGAAATCTTTATGAATCATTGAAGCCGGGAAATATTTATAGAATCGTTTTTAATACCATGCAACGCTAGCGGAACAAAACGATTTAACAGCTTGATAAATAAATAGTATATAACCTTTACGTTTTATAGATATGTTTCTCACCTTTGGAATATTTGTCATAATATAAAAGGTATACAAAGTATTATCATAAAACAATATATTTAAAAAATAATAAAATAATTTATTTTGTAGCCCATTTCACCTTTATTAATTTAAATATTTGTTCCCTTGACATTTAAACAAAATTCAACTTGAGTGGTGTAAGCAATATTACAACGTCGAGGTAACCACTAGAACTTCTATTTCTTTTGCCTTAAAAAGTAAAAGTAAAGTTAGAGCCTATATACGTGCCACTACTGGGCACAGGCCTCCCCTTGATGGTTAGGGTTGTAGAGCAAGGAAGTGTCCGCCGCTCTGCCCCAATGGGTATTGTCCAAGACAAAATCTTGGAAATATTTTTTTCTTATTCCTCAAAAATGCAGGTTTCCTCACGATGTTTTCTTTCACCGCCGAGCACGCGGTATATTAGCACTTAAAATTGCAGTTAACAATTTCGTTGGTGCTGGTGGGGATCGAACCCGGGTTACTCGCTTTCTGTTATATTTACAGCGAGCGTTAACCATCTGAGCTAACACGGCTTATCACGGCAATCTTTTGCATTAGGGTACAATTATTTCTCTCAATTTAAATTGGATCACCTTTGAAATGTAGCCTAGCCTATTTAATGAAGAAGATCCATTAACATCGAATCAAAATTGGCGAAGATACCGTAACATGCATACCGGACCCAGACCGAATTTCGGTCACGGCGGCCAGCCTCAACGGAACTAGCCATTGACGCATGACATGATAATAGTGCTCCAGTGTATGCACAAGCACAGGTTCACTCTCTATTCCCTCACTCTCATAGTTCGATGGGATGATAAACCGACACGACCGGAGAGAAGTCAGGCGCAGGACCAACGGCTTTACGTGCTTTCCGAAGCACGGGGTGAGACACCGCCAACTTACTGACAGCGGGCAGCTACTAAGATTTCTTGATATAAAAACTCAATAACTGATTTTTTTTCTTGACCCTACCCAGGTTTTGAACCGGGGACCTCATGATCGGCAGTCGCTCTACTACAACCACTAGACCGGCGAGGCACGACAAGCTTGTTCCTAGCCGCAGTCAGGCTACCCCTTTACTGACGATATTGCGAACTTTTGCCCGCTTTGTTTTTAATAACGTACAGTTTTAATAACGTTTTAATAACATACAGCAAAGGAGTGAAATAATTTAAGGCATATAGGCTTTTGTTACGCTAAGATAATGTTACGAGCTTAGGGTTCGTAACAATAAAAACTGCCGATTGAATTACCAAAATTGGCACTGTAATTGCGGAACACCAATTAAAACTTAAACACACTAATAATTAATCACACTGATCACTTTAGTTCACTGTATTCTGCTCCGAAGCTTCGCTCGTATCGCCAATTCAATACTGCCCCGGTCGCGGACTTTATCGACGTTATATAAGCCTTTTCTACCGAAACATCCAGAATGTTCCAGCAAATACCGGTCCCGACCGACTAGATGTAAAAATTCATGGACTTTTCGGAAAGCTTAATTCTTCTATTCGATACTAGATGGCACTGTTGGTGGAAAGTTCAGGCCTGGCATTTTCTACAAAGCTCTCCTCGCTCTGCTCCCCGACACAAGATGGCGCTAGGGGCATCCATTACGGATTGCAACAATAATGTGATTTACCATCTAGGGCAATGGCTTATAATAAGTAAAAAAACATGGAATCCCTTCACTCCCTTGTTTCACTCGAGTTCTACTGTTTATTGTATGATATGTAATTTCCCATTAAAAACTTATGCTGCACTTCTGACTTTTTATTGAATAACCGAAAGATATCGCAAAATCAATCTGATAGACATTGAACATTTCATCAGCGTCAGAATTTCCTTTTACACATTTTAACTGATTTTTATCGTGAACAATTATTCAAACGTGTGAAATGTGAAATTACAGTTACATTGAATGATAAATATCCAATAATTTAAACGTATACGTTTAAGAGCTATCAGCGTATATAATCTTTTATGTGATATTAAATAACTGAAGGAAACAATTTAAATGTTTGTCTTATAGTCACTAGTTTTTAAAAAAAAACATAATAAGGGTGACAAACGAGCACACAGTCCACCTGATGGTAAGTGGATGCCGTGGCCCATAGACATCTACATTTATCCTCGATTACGAATCAAAATGCAGATGCGTTCTCACCCCTGAGGCCTGAGATGGAATGCCTCGTTTCCGGTAAAAAGGTTCTCCGGTTCTCTAAACACACCATACGAAACACAGCAGCATCAAGCTGCTAGTTTACGTTGGTATTCTGTGAGAGCGTGGTCCTTCCACGGTCAAGTCGACCCATTCATGCTAAGACCATAATATAGCTGCAGCGTGGCTCCACCACGTATAACATATAAAAAATAGTTTCGCAGTTTATTATTTACGCGGAAGTTTAAATTTAATGTAATTTTTAACTTTAATAAAATATATTTAGCTTTCGTCTATTAATAGATATGATCGTCTCACGTTACGCTTGGCATAGCGATTGATGATCGCATTAGCAAACGTCTCGCTTCTTTGATGCTGATGCCCATTGCCGCTCTAGTTACAAGATTTGCTAGATCCGGAAGCCACTATATTATTCTGACAGTCGCCTCTTAAGACATCCTAAGGACTATACGTGATGGTTGATTCTCTCACGATGCCACCTCATGGCTAATGTACAATGTGCTCAGAAATTATCGCATGATTAGGAAACCTTTCGTAAAGAAATATTTCTTCTTGTAAAATCTGTTAATTCTGTTAATTCATCGGGGGCAGCGGCATGAACTCTAATTTGTCATCAAACTCTTGCAGAAATGAAAACGAGTCAGTCGGTGCTGCGCGTATTACAACGTATATAGACTGTTACTTTACAGCTATGTAATAAATATGGAATGAAGCAATTTTTTTTATTATTAAGGAATAAGGCTGTTGCATCTTTTTTAACTGAGTTGGTGAAATTTATTACATCAGAGCATACCATTCTTTCGTGCTTCGCGATATGTCAGTTATACTAACCGTGCCATCATGATTGAGGTAATTTATATTTAAAGCTCCGATGAATTTACCGGATCCGTAATTATCCACGCCTACACGTAATAGCTCATGCAACAATCATTCCGATCTAGAGCGAAAGTTGCCACTATGCATTGATTATACAAAAACTCCGAAAGCGAACTATTTCTGATATATTTCGTCTTTAGAAATCACGTTGTCAGTATCGACCACGGAGCAAATATAATTTGTATCGACATTTAAGCTATATACCGGTATTAAGTCATTTTTGGATGGTATGAGGAAGATGTTGCTATAGTACTGTTTCAGCTGCTTGTAGTAATACTCTTATATGCCGCGTTGCACAGCGTCCCCAAATAATATAACGTCTAATTGTTATATTACCTTTCATATCCTTAAACTTAATAAACACACATCATTCAATTTTGTATTGTGATATTAAAAAATCAATTTAGAAAATTTTATTTAATTAATGACCTACTATTTTGATATTCAATATATATATCAAAAAAAATCCATGCAATGTCTAATAAAGCAATCTTGACGCTTAATTATTAGGAAGTAAAAGCTATAACAGCTTTTCAGGGTCATAAATCCTAAATAAGATCAAATGTATTTAAACCTACTTAAAACAACTTCAAATAAGGCCACAGGTAAGTAATAATGTTGAAATTGTACAATGAATAGATTATATCTCTGGAAAATGTTCTACTAAACATAAACTTCTATTTGAAAATAGTGGATAATATTGACACAGTTAAGCAGCACTCGAGGAAAGTCCTCGAAATATTGGGACAGACATAACTTGAGTCCTAAACCAACATTATTACAAAATGTAGTTTTGATAGCAGTTGCGTATTTATAATTTAGGTAAGAACCTCTTAAAATAACATGTATGCCAGACTTTAGAGAACACTTTAAGCATTTCGGACGGCTCCATGATTAATTAGGCCTGAGTAAGATTAGTAATGAGTTACGACGCTGAGGGCCGCGGGTTTGAATCCCGCACGGAACATTATTTGTATAAGGCGAATAATTATCGGATTGCGCACGGAACTAATCATTGTTTCCGGTCTAGACGTTTATCTCTTGCACTTTATGTATATAAACTGTAGGAGTAACCTATTTAAGAATAAAATGTTTTTTTTATGAAAACTTTCAACAACCATATTTCACTTATTAATTATTATTCAATGACACTATGTACTTATAATATTATTTTTCTTAGAATACTAATTTTAAAAAACAAATTTCTTCTTTTACAGAAGCAGGTACCGTCCCAGACGATCAGTCAACATCAGCATCATGGTGGCAAGCAGGCACAGCGACGCCCTTCCATGAGAGCAGCAATAGCGCATTCTCTTCAACGCATGGTATCGTTCAGACACATCCATCGATAAATGACGGATATTCCTTTGGAAACCTTGCCAATACAATCGGACCTTCATCTAACCCATTCGTCCGAACAAGCGGCAGCGGCCCGCTTAGTGGCAATTTCCGCAACAATCCGCTACCACCGCTTTCTAAGAACGTGAATGGAAAAATGTCGTTCAAGCACTTGGACTTCACGAGTAGTGCGACTGCTGAGCTCAGAAGGAATCCAGCGTTATCCGCTCCTGATGAATGTGCGCGTGCTTGCAGAGAGGGAGAGCCACCGAGAATCTGTTACTACCATTTCACTCTTGAGCTGTACACTGTTTTGGGCGCGTAAGTATCTAATATACTGTTTATTTCCCGTATTCTTCTTTGATTATCTGTAAAAGTTAACATCCAGGCAATACTAATGGTTCTCTCACACTGTAGGCAGAATTGACCGTAGTTGCTATTCTTAATAGCGAATTAGCGATCACAATACCAGATGCTGCTCACAAGTTGACGCTACTCCCGGTTTCCGGCCTGGATATGTTATCTTCTTCATGTTGTAGCTATATTACTGATTTAGTAGTAGCACGAATATGTCGGCTCGACCGGGGAAGGACCATTCTCTCACAGAATACCAGCGTAAAACAGCATCTTAACGTTGCTGTTTCATATGATGAGTGTAGAGAACTAGAGACCTGTTTTTAATGGGAACGAGGCATTCCATCGTAGTCCTCAGGAGTGACAACGCCCATTAAGACCTACTAGACCTATTAAGATACCAACTGGACAAAATAACTTGATACGGAGGTGAATAGGAAAAGAAAATTATCTAACCACTCTGCCTTAACTCGTAATTTTCGTATCAATCTCTATATATAAAAATCAATTTCCATCCGAAGGTTTCGCTAAAACTCGAAAATGGCTTGACTAGTTTTGATGAAACTTTTCGTGTGTGGTTTGTGGATGGTTAAAATTCACTATTGGACCCGGTAGGTAGAGCTTTCGTTGTAATCAAGAAATTAGCCGAGCGAAACCCGGGCAGGTCGCTGGTATTACATAAATCATAATAAATTTGAAAAATATTTATATCAATCAATACTAGCCAATGCAAACTCACGGTAAAAGTAATTTTAAAAGTGACAACCTTGGGAATGTCATAACAAAACTAGTTTCAACGTTCTTTAGAAATCAAATAAATGTTCGTTTCATTTATTTTCACAGTTGGCTTCATTCATTGACAAATCTATGTCTTATTCTTCAACTCAAATGAGTCCAATTCTAATTGATGGGTAATGTCGACAGAGCTTACGCAAAAATTCACATTTCGTTGCACAAGCATAGGGCAATGAAACTGTGTTATAACAATACGTTATCGACACGTTTTTCTTTTGTTATGATTGTCATTGTTAAATGCATTTGAATTATATTTTAAGGTACTTTTTATAATTTTTTTTATTACAGGGCTTGCCAAGTTTGCACACCTAACGCAACCAATGTAGTCTGGTCTCACTGTCAATGTGTGTTGGCCGATGGTGTGGAGCGAGGTATCCTTACAGCAAACAGAATGATTCCTGGACCATCGATTCAAGTGTGTGAAAATGACAAAGTGGTAATTGATGTTGAGAATCATATGGAAGGTATGGAAGTGACCATCCACTGGCACGGTATCTGGCAAAGAGGATCTCAATATTATGATGGTGTACCATTCGTAACGCAATGTCCTATTCAACAAGGAAATACATTCAGGTAAATATTATTTTAAAGACAAAGAACTAACCGATAACTTTGTTTTGGACAGAGAGATAACACAACAGCAGTATTATAATTTATAGAATAGAATAGATTTTTTGATGAATTTTTTTTATTCACCACAAGCTCTACAGTGAAGGAAAACATCTTGAGGAAACTTGCATATTTTAGAAATAGGAAAAATAATATTTCCAAGACATGTGAAGTTCACCAACACACATTAGGGCACCGCGGCGGCCATTTCTTTGCCCTAAACGCTCTCAGAAATGAGAGTAGACCTGTGTCCAGCTGTGGGATGTATATAGGCTGTAACTTTAACTTTAACCTGTAATTCGGTTTAAAGATCTTTATTTACTCATTAAGACTAATGTCATTTACATGAGTACATTTATACAATTTAAAATAAATCACTCAGAACTATACTAACTATACTCAGAATATAATAAATAGTAAACATAAAATAGGGTAGATCAAAATTAAATAGAAGTTGCAAGTTAACTGCGTAAGAGCGATATTTCAAGTATTGATAATATAAGACGGTGGTCCAAGTTATATAATGTCTTGTTTTTTAATGTGGTCTAATAATTTTTTCTTGAAAATATTGGGCGAACTTGCATCCTTTATAGTTGAAGGGAGTTTAATATACAACTGTGCTCCCGCAAATGTTACGGCATTTTTTCCATAATTAGTGCGAAAATTTGGTAATACAAGATGGTTTCCGTGGCGTGATGAGTATTTTGGTGTTTCTCCTTTTGTGGTGAATGTTATATTTGAATGGATCATATTATGTGTGATTTTATATATACATGTGTTATAGATGTATAATTGTTTGATGTTTAGTTATTTCGTTTCATGGTATATTGTTTCTTGTTCTTATTTAAAATCATTTTTTACTTTTACCACTTATACCCCATATATATTTGTACTGATCTTTATTTCACAGATATCAATGGCAAGGTAACGCAGGTACTCACTTTTGGCATGCACACACTGGTCTTCAGAAATTAGATGGATTATATGGAAGTATTGTTGTACGTCAACCTCCATCCAAAGATCCCAACAGTCACCTTTACGACTACGATTTGACTACACATGTCATGTTAATCAGCGACTGGCTGCATGAAGATGCTGCCGAAAGATATCCGGGTCGTCTTGCTGTCAACACTGGTCAAGATCCCGAATCTGTATTGATTAACGGCAAAGGACAGTTTAGAGATCCCAACACTGGTTTCATGACAAACACACCATTAGAAGTTTTCACTATTACTCCAGGCAGGAGATACAGGTTTAGGATGATCAACGCTTTTGCTTCAGTTTGTCCAGCTCAGCTTACTATCGAAGGCCATAACCTGACAGTTATTGCGACAGATGGGGAACCCGTGCAACCAGTACAAGTCAACACTATTATATCTTTCTCCGGTACGTAGAATAAATAACGACTTTATCATAACGTAATTATAAATCAGGGTTATAAAATTCACATACCCTGAAACTACTTTTTATCTATCGCTTGCATACTCAAAAACGCAACAAAGAATTTATAGCAGGAAGAAATATTTCAAGATTTGTCCACTCACTGTATTGGCTAACAATTAAAGGTATCACTGATACTGATACTACTGTAAAACTGGAACGGTCATACGAGGCGACAGAGGTAAATAAATCAGGAGATGAGCAGCAGCGTCTTCATAATAATGACTAAAAATAAAAAATAATGCGTTTTCCAACCCGCTTGGCAAATATCCCCCCTATGAGGCAATCTATGGGGGAGGCCTATGTTCAGCAGTGGACTCCAATAGGTTGTAACGGTATTGTAAAAGTACAAGATAATTATGTATAATGACAATATAGTTTGTATTTTTTAACTTTTCATTCAATTAAACTCTGGCAACATTTATTTCCTGTGAACTACTATTTTCTGTTTCATGACGTTATTTGTGTTGACTCCTTAAATATCTACTTCGTTGTGGACGGACCTGTAATAAATAACCATACTTGAACAAATTGCTCTGACTCAAACAATAATAAAAGCACTTATAACTTCCTTAGTAATTACACTGTTTTCACTTAAAACCGTTATCGCTGTACAATCGACGATGATTTAACGATATTTAATCGTAATACTAAATTTTAAACAGGTATCTAGTAAATTGATGCCATAACTAGACTAAAGTTGACTAAAGGTTGTTTTTTATTGAGGTCACATTACTTTGATCTTTCATCCCTAACAACATTAATTTTAAAACTCGTTCTTGACGATGGTTTTACTCGACTCTTTCAGGTGAACGATACGACTTTATCATAGTCGCAGATAATAACCCTGGCGCATACTGGATCCAAGTACGAGGTCTTGGAGAATGTGGTGTAAAACGAGCACAACAATTAGGAATACTCCGGTATGCTAGGGGCCCATATCAGCCTTCCTCGCCAGCGCCTACGTATGATGTGGGAATTCCACAAGGAGTGGTATGTATTGTACTATTGTAAAACTTATATTAATATGAACAATTATAATTCCTAAAATAAAGTTGTAAATACGTCAGTAACATAATTAAATCTTACAAGTATTTCTGCCAACATTCAAAATAAGTACAAAGGGTTCAAATTTCGTGTTCTCAATTATACGAATTGATCAGTGTAGTGTCTAAGAGTGTCATTATATAATTATAAGTGTATTTTGCATACTTGCTTCTAAGAGCTAGCACGATACCCTGAACTAAATTAAATCTATTTTGCAGAAGTTGATTGCATGCATATATCATTACAAAAACATTAGCAAATACTTTTCGAATGCAAAAATGGTATTCAAAATAAATTGGACACATTCATTAGTTGTATAAAGTAGAAAACACTAGTAATGAATTGTAAATATCATAAGCAAACTGTCGTGGATATTAGTAACTGAGTAGACGACACGGAATGTGTTTTAGTGGTAACCTATCATAATGATTATATTGCACCTCTTTGCAACAAATTTCCGCATTTGCACCAAGTTCCGTTTTATTAAACAAGTGCAATTTTTAATACCGTAATATAATAAATTAATCAATTAAAACTATTTTAGTGCTAAATGTAATAAAACGGAACCGACAAAAGATACATTAAAAATTTGCAAGGTTTATTTTCTCCTTCCTTCAACCCCAATGAACAAATTTGGTAGTATTTTTAAATAATAATAAAAGTAGTTAAGTTTTAAAGTAGAGTAGTTTGCACGTAAAATTAGTAATTGCACGTTTTTCCTCCTCACTAACTATACAGGTTATGAACCCACTGGACGCAATATGTAATATACCCAGAACCGACGCCATTTGCGTCAGTCAACTGAAAAACGCCAAGCACATCGACCCTGCAATACTCCAGGATAGGCCTGACGTAAAGATTTTCTTACCATTCCGATTCTTCGTTTACAGACCAGAGATGTTATTCCAACCGAATACTTATAACCGATATTTAGGTGAGAATAAACATGTATATTTTACTTTGACTTTGGAATGTTTAAATAAATTCGTCGACTATAACTAAATTTAATGCTTACAGTGGCACCGGGTGGAGATCACGTCATTAGTTTAATAGACGAAATATCGTATATGTCCCCACCGGCCCCTCTTATAAGTCAGTATGATGACATTAATCCTGAACAATTCTGTAATGGCGACAATAGGCCAGCTGATTGCGGACAAAATTGCATGTGCACTCACAAGGTTGACATTCCGCTTAACGCAGTTGTAGAGATTGTACTAGTAGATGAAGGTACTTTGCACCACTAAATATACCAATCGCTTTAAACATTGGCTGTTGTTATATATGAATCTGACTTTATTTTGATTTTACATTTTTAACTTTCACAGTTCAAATCGCGAACTTATCCCATCCGTTCCACCTGCACGGTTACTTTTACAACGTGATTGGTATTGGACGGTCGCCCGACCAGAACGTCAAGAAAATTAACCTGAAACACGCTCTCGACCTCGACAGACGAGGATTACTTGAACGTCACTTGAAACAAGGAGATTTGCCGCCGTCGAAAGACACCATTGCAGTACCCAATAATGGCTACGTTATCTTACGATTTAGGGCTAATAATCCTGGTTTCTGGCTCCTCCATTGCCACTTCCTCTTCCACATCGTCATCGGCATGAATGTCGTGCTACAAGTTGGCACCCAAGCCGATCTGCCTCCTGTACCTCCCAACTTCCCGACATGCGGAGACCATCTGCCTCCCATCAATTAACTTCGGTTCCTAGTAACAATCACAGTTTTCGTACATCAAAGAATTGGTTCAGCAGTTGAATTATTTTTGTGTTAACTAAGTGTAATTTTATGATTGTTTTGTGTGGTGTGTCTGGTAGATTCGAAGTGCTCGACTCTACCATTTGTGTTTTTATTCGAATGTTTCAACAGGAGTTCATGATGGTTTGTGATTTTTATTTAAATGACGGTGATACTTTTTTGAGTGAATCACAGTTTTATAATATGCCATATTTGGTGATACTTTTTTCAATATTTTAATGTGTCGCCTAAAATATTGTATAGTTCGAGGCTCAGTAATTAATGTACAACGTATTCTTCGCCCACGGGTTTCTTTTTTATCTATTTTATACGAATTTGTTTGTACTGTAACTAACGACTTGCCATTTTTTCTTCACCAAGGATATTTATTACGTGTATATATATAAAATTTATATAGACGTATTTAGAATTATAAGAGGCTCTACCATTGACTAACATCGCAATCCACACAAAATTAAGGAATTGTAAATAATGCGAAATCTGCAATACTTGTAAATACACAAACATGAACGAATAGCTTAAAACATACCCTTCTCCTCCCCCGACCATGAAGACTGTTCTAACCATATGTTTATTTAGAGAGTATGTAGATACAAAAAATGTTACCATTCCCAGTTACCATAACAATAAGAAAATTCTGTGTATTTTATAACGTAATTTAAATCATTTCCAGAAAAGCAGTAGTGGTAGTATAATAATAAGAAATCATACAGTGTTTACTTAAAGAGGCAAATTCTTTACAAATTAAATAAAAATATTTCTGTTATTGTCGTGCGTTAGCAGACAATGTGTATTTATCACAAATATTTTAAGAGATTTGTGAATTTTAAACCATTTTAATAAATTTTATAAAATAAATTATTTATTTTCATTTTTATCCTTCATAGATAAGTGTTCATGATTCTTTGATTGTTACACTCATTAATGTTAACAACATGCAATGTAAATATTATACAAAACCCCTTTGTAAATACTAAACGGTGTTTGTTTTCTGTAACTATTTTATTTTTAGATCAAAAATAATGTCACATTTCCCACGATACACTTACTTAAACCTGTATCAGTGTAGAATGGAAAGGTATGGTACTCCATTTATTTTTATTTCTTCAAATTGATTTCTTGTACAGAAACCATATTATGCATTAATGCTCCTATAATAAGTACATGATTAACTAATTGATTGATATTTTTGTAGGTATTAAATCCTCTAGATGCAATTTGTGATGTACCAAGGAATGACGCAGTGTGTGTCAGTAATTTAAAATCGGCAAAACCGGTAGACAAGGCAATACTTCAAGAGAGACCAGACGTAAAAATATTCCTGCCATTCCGTTTTCACTTCTACACGCCAAAAGATCTTTTTAAGGAAAATACATACAAAAATTACTTAGGTAATTGATTGTCTTACCTTTATTTTATGAGAAACCACATCTGCAGAAGATATCGCGAAATACCTGATTTCAAATTTAATGAAAGTTATATTTTTTTTTACTTCCATGTAAGCTGTAGAGATGTTGTAGCTCAGTGGCTAAGCAGTCGTTGTAAGTTTGACGATCCGCCGGCAACCGGGGTTCGATTCCCACTGGCACCAATGAATTTATTTTAATTGAAAGTGCTGATTTGAAATTGGGGTTAATTGGCACCATAATGTTTATTACTTTGAGTTGTTTACAAGAAGATGTTGCTGTCCACATCTCCTATTTCAGTTCTCCCCTGTCGCCACTTACGACACCCACGGGAATAAATAGTAAAAAGGCGGTCCATGTGCGACCCGAAAGGTCCACACGACTAACTTCCCAGTGGAAAGAATAAAAAAAATATCTAATGTTTTGTTATTTTATACAATTTTTCATTCAGCACAAAAAACGACTTCCGATTTTGCTCATAAATTTAATGGGATCTATGTTACATAATTATGCGTTAAATGAAACTGGTCTCATGTCAATATCACTCTTTGTTCTCGAGATACACGAGGCGAAAATTGAATCCGAACATACATACACATGTACATACGTACATGTGCACACACGGACATCCTCTTAAAAACCATACTATTCGACTCTAAAGACCTTGAAACGTGGAGATATGTTAAAATTTCTAATTTGCAAAATCGGACCCATTACAAGAACTTCCCACTGGGAAGTTAATAATTAAAAAACATATGCCACTTCAGATACTTTGTTGCTAATTGACGGATCCGAAGCGTAGCTGCTAAGCCAGTGTCTGTGGAGTTGCGAATCCTAGGGTTAGAATCACTGAGGATCACCTCGCACTACATTTGTTAATACAGGCTACTACTTTAGAACTTTCAGTCTCCATCGCGTGTAAGTTCATCGAGCTACATACACGACTAGCTTAATATCATTTCAGCTAATGATCCAATGAGATGTGCCATGTAGTGGCGGCGAAAAGCACTTAGTACTGTCCGCCATACTGAATTTCGGTCACGGCGGCCAGTCCCAGCGGAAACTAGTCAAATGCACAGGACAGATTTATAGTGCACGAGTGCGGGCGCAAATTCAGATGCACTCTCTATTCCCTCACTCTCCTAGTTCTATAGGACGACAATCCGATACAACCGGGGAGATACAGGACTAAGGGCTTTACGTGCTTTCCGAGGAAAAGGGGTGCAACAGCGCCAACTTCCTGACTCCCGACCATAGAATACTATAATACATATAGGTAATACATACATATGGGGGAGTGGGCGGAGCCCGTGTAGCCACTAAAATGTCACTAACACGTCAATTCACACGTATAAATGTCAACACGAGATGTGTTTTGACGTAACAATCATTTCCAAATTTCGCATGCAAATTATTTAGAAAATACCAAATTGCACGCTATTTACAAATAAATATGTATTAAAATTTTAACGACTTGTTTAATGATGATTTTGAACGTTAATGAAGAGTCTAAAATGTGTTAATTTACTCAGTCTGTCAAAACAGCGAATCGGGTTTGTAATAATGATAATAGGACGTAATTGCTTGTAAGTGTTCTCCCGGCGACGCAGAATCTCGTACAAAATAAGTTTGGCAGCCATTCTATTGTGCATTATAGTCTATGCTCCCGACTATTGAGAACTTCCTAACAGAAAACCCAATAACCAATTCACATAATCAGTAGTTCCGCTTAAGTTCATTAGACCGACAAGGCAAGCAATCCCATATAATCTCGTTGGAGACTTAAGAAGCGACAGAGGGAAACTTAAACAGGAAAAGGGCAGCAGCATTTTCCTGATAACAGCTCAAAGTAATTATAAAACTGTGGTCACAAACCCAATGGGCAAACTTAAAAACTAAGGCAAATATCCCGCTTTGCGGCAAGTTATAGGGAGGTCTACGACTATGTTTGGCAGAGGACTTTTAATACGCTTTAATTATTTTTTAATAGATTGAGGGTGACAATGAGCATACCGTCCACCTGATGGTAAGTGAATGATGTGACCCATAGACATAGACATAGACATTTATCCTTGATTAAGAATCAAAACGCAGATGCGTTGTCTCCCGTGAAGACTAAGATGGAATGCCTCGTTTCCAGTAAAAAGGGACGCAGATACATTATCACACTTGAGGACTAAGATGGATTGCCTCGTTTCCAGTATAAAGGGTCTCCCAAACTTTACGCTCACCATACAAAACACAGCCATATTAAGCTGCTATTTTACGCTGGTATTCTGTGAGACCGTTGTCCATCCTCGGTCGAACAGACTCAATCGTGCTACAACCATATAGCCGCTACTTGGCATTAATATAATGATCCCTTGGGGTATGCTGTATAATTCATTTTGCGGGCTACAAAAATTGATAAAAGTACAATAAAGTTTTTTGTTTACATACATAAATGACAATAATGTTGCAGTTGGCGGTTTTGGTGGCGATCACGTATTGAGCTTAGTGGATGAGATTTCCTACACCGCACCTCCCGCGCCGCCGCTGTCACAGATGCACGAGCTACCGTCTGAACTCTTCTGTAATGGCGACAACAGGCCCCCAAACTGTCCCGTCGACTGTCGCTGCACGCACATGATTGACGTGCCGCTGAACTCCATTGTTGAAATCGTTTTAGTTGATGAAGGTAAGTGTGATTTTAATTTAAAAATTATTTTAAATATTCATTTAATTCAACAGGTGGTAAAACTAAAAACTTTGTACAACCGACGCATTATTTAAGGATAACTCAAAAACTTGATCAAATTTATATGGGACCACGCGAAAAGCATCAGCTTTCAAATATAATCATCAAAATCGGTTCACCCAAAAAAAGTTATCAGGTAACACACATAAAAAAACATGCAGTCGAATTGAATACCTCCTTCTTTTTGAAGTCGGTTAGAAATAGTCCTCATCTTTAGATTGCTGGCTCTTTGGCGGCATAATGTAACGACTTACTAAATACACATAAAAAGTTTTACCGCCTAGTAAAACATTAGCATACTTACAAAATTTTTCTTTTAAATATATGTGTATCTACTTTAAAAATGTGTGATATTATATGCCAGTAACATATACAAAACATATAACAATATAATTGTTTTTATGTAATCTATACATCTAAATATAATTAAAGTGTCTCTGTTTGTAATGTCAAAATACCCACTTTTTACTAAATGCATCTGAAAGTACATATTCGGCACTTATAGCAAAAAAGACAAATTCAAGAATGTTTGTCTGTCTGTCTGTTTGTTCCGAGTAATCCCTAAAATGGCTGAACTGATTTTGATGATACTTCTAGTGGCAGATAGCTGGTGTTATTAGGAGTAACTTACGCAAATTTTATTTTAGACTAATAGAGTTCCATTCCAGAATTTGAACTCATGAAATCTTATCGTAAAAAATTCCGCGCGAAAAAGTCGCGGGAACAGCTAGTATATTATTATACTTCTGAGCATATTCAGCAGCATAGGGATAGCTATAATATCAGCTTTAAATGCTAAAAATGTCAAATAGCAAAAAAATGGCTAGGTATAAGAATAGGTCAACTTGACCAAGGGAGGACCAGGCTCACATAGCATTCAGGTTTTTTTTTCTGCCACCAACACTGCTGTGTTCCAATATCAAAGATATATATAAATTATATTAATATATGTAGTAATAATATAGTATAACGCTACTAGCGTATAATATATATATATATAATAACAAAAATACTATATACTTCTACCTCTCCAAGTAAGTTTAAAAATAGGTTTACGACAGTAGTTGAATGGTGGAATTTTTTTTGCGCCCGAAGCAATTAAAGGGCTACCCTTTATGTGGGGAGGCGGAAAATGCATTACGCATACCACGATAGCCGGTCTATCGTGGTTATGAGAGACTCACTGCCTACCGGGGGAACCTAAGTATTACCCTCCAAAAACCGCCTTTGGGGACTGGCAACTGGCTGTTTGAGCTTCTTATGCCGTATCGGGAGCGACCCTCTTTTGGGAAAAGAGGGCGCAGGCGGCTACGAGCCGCTGAGGGAGTGCCTACGAAGGCAAATTAATTATGAATAATTTAATTTAATTATAGTTTGCCTGAACCGCCAGGAGGCAGTTCAGGTCGTTTGACAGTTTATTAGGCGGGTCCGAGTGAGAGTTTCTCGGCCTGCGGACTCGATAGCGAGAGCCGGGGGTGGGGCTGCATAAGTAGCTGCCTCACGAATAAGATGATTGGAGTGCAACTCTGAGGCTTTGAAGAAGTTCTCAGAGAGTTTTTTAAGAAATTGTTGAATTGTAGGGAGCTCTAGGTCCCGATGAAGGTCGGCATTACGGACGTACCAAGGTGCGTTCGCAGCTCGACGACAGAAAAGGTTTTGAAATATTTGGAGTTCATTAATAATTTTAGGGTCGGCGTGGGCAAAAATAGGGCCCTCGTAGGACATGACTGGTCGTATACAGACCTTATAAAGGGTACGCTTGTTTCTAAGGGACATTTTACTGTGTCGGTCCAACATACTGTTGAGCCTACTCAGGTAAAAACGTGCGTGACGGGTTACTCTTTTGACGTGGGGCCTGAAAGTGAGCCTTGTGTCTAGAGTGACACCTAAATATTTGGCAGTCGTATGCCAGGGGACAGGGGTCCCTAGCATACGTATTGGTGGAGTGTTTTTGAGACGGCATCGTTTATAATCGAAGTGAACGGCGGAGCTCTTCTCCGGGTTCACATCCATGCGCCATTTTTTGAACCAAGCTCCTAGGACGTCAACTGATTTTTGAACCTTGTTCCGTATGAAAGGTAACGAGATACCTTTACAGTAGATAGCAGTGTCGTCTGCGAAGAGGGAGAGCTGAACACCTTTCGACGGGATGGGAATGTCGTTGGTGAACAGGATGTACAGCAGAGGAGCAAGTACTGAGCCCTGAGGGACACCAGCTTTGATAGGGCGCTGTGAAGATAGCGTGCCTTCGTGTCTAAAACGAAAGGTACGATGCTTTAAATAAGAGGCCACGAGACGTACTAGACGATCGGGGAGACCTATTTTGTACAGCTTGTAGATAAGGCCTATATGCCAGACTCTATCAAAGGCTTTAGCTATGTCGAAAAAGACCGCGATGGTCTAATGACGACGAGGATAAAAACCGCTGAGGATATATTCCACAATACGGTGAACTTGTTGGGGACATGAGTGTTGCACTCGGCAACCGAATTGATGGGGAGTGATAAGAGGGTCACCGTCTGTGGGAAACAGATAGCGCCTCATGCGAGTTTGGATGACTGTTTCAAAGAGTTTGCCCGTGGCCTTGAGGAGGCTAATGGGGCGATGACTGGAGAGGAGGTTGAGAGGCTTGCCTGGCTTGGGAATACCAATCACAGTTGCCTCTTTAAACGTAGTGGGAAAGTAACTAAGGTTGAAGCAGGCGTTGAAGATAATAGATAAAAAGGTTAACACCTGCTCAGGAAAGTGTTTTAGGGCTTAGTTGGAGATGCCATCCGCGCCCGGAGCCTTTTTGGGCTTAAGTCCTTTGATGAGAGATGAAATCTCATCATTGGACACAGAGATAGGTTCGGAGGCTGTAGGGGGTGAGTTCCGGCGGCGGAACTCATCCTCCACTGCCTGGACGTGTGAGGGGTCGACGGGTTGAGAGCTAGGAGAGCATTGTGCGGCAATGCTATCTGCAAAGCACTCAGCCTTTTCCTCGTCCTCGAAGGCAACCGTACCGTCGGGACGGGAGAGAGGTGGGTGATAGCGTCTATGCGGAGGGCTCTAGCCATCTGATAGTACGCTGTATGAGATGGAGAGATATTCTCCATGAGTTTACTCTTTTCGAGGTCTCGAAATTCAGAGAGGCGGAATCGGAGTTCTCGTTGAAGACGATTGGCCGTGCGCCTATATTCAGGGGTGGGATATTCTGCTGCTCTCCGGAAAGCAGCTTTCTTGGCTTTTAATAGGTTGCTAATATGTAGGGGAAGCCCACTATTGTTAGCAACCGGGACGACCCTTTCGTTCTCCTTTAGGGAGGATTTAAAAAGGGTGGAGAGTGAATCGACCGAGGTGTCGATTTTTTCGGGCCTGTCTAAGTCCGACGGTAGGGAGATGGTAGAGTCCTGTGAGTCCAGAGCTTTAGCTAGGGACTCCTTGAATGCCTTCCAATTAGTGAAGGTTTTCGTGTGTATTGGGGGAGGCGGCTCATGGCCAAGAATGAGGGAGACCGGTCGGTGATCGGATCCTAGATCGTCTAGTGTCGCGATTACCCTGAGGTTGAGAGAAACTCCTTGGAGTAACGCAAAATCTAGTACATCGGGGGGCGTGATCGGTGTTATCGGGAAAGTGAGTAACACCGAGGGGACTATGGACGGTAATATCAAGAGACTGCGTGATATCGAGCAGGATCTTGCCACTAGGGGAGGTAGTACGGCATGTCCATTCAGTATACTTGGAGTTAAAATCTCCAAACATAATGACTGAATTGCCTAAAGATAAAATAGCCTCAAAATCTTTTTTGAGGGGATGGGTTCCTTAAGGGATGTAACAGGAGGCTATGAGGATGGACTGTTGTCCAGTCATAGCTAGCCTGCATACCGTGGCTTCCATGTTGGTAAGCTGCGGAGTAGAAAAGGGCGAGCAGTGAAGTGTCTTCTTGTAATAGATGGCCGTTCCGCCGCCTCGGCGGTCGAGTCTGTCATTACGAAGAAGAGAGAAGTCTTTAATAGAAAGGCCTTTAGTGCCCTTAGTTTTGAGATTAGTTTCCTGTAGGAAGAGGAAATCGGCTTCACGATTCCGAAGAAAGAGCTTAAGCTCTGGTAGGTTATTTCGCAAACCGCGAATATTAAAGGATACAAGCGATAAACCCTTAGGTTTGATACGACCGTGAGACTTTGATAGAGCAAACTGTTCTGTCATTGTGAAGTTAAGTTAATCAAATTTTAACAATAAGTAACATTATAAAGAACACAGGTTAATCAAATTAAGTTAACTTAACTTACAACGAGCACAAAAGATTATGATGCTCTGTAAGAGCGAGGAGACTGGTCCTGAGGGGACCTCGCAGCGCCAATTTGAGTGCTGACACACGATTTCCTCAACTCGATGTTCCTAATGCGGAATACAACGTTTTTAGGTCTTCAATTGTGGGCTGTGATTGTTGTTGTTGTGGTGCGGAGGTTGTCCGCGGTGGGTCTGCCTTATTGGGGTCCCAGGGAAAGACTGGAAGCTGCATAGGCTTAGAGAAGCCCGGAGGGGGCCTAGGGGGACCCTGAGAGGGCTGAGAGAAGCCCTGGATGGGCTGAGAAGGGCCCTGACGGGGCCGTTGGTAGAGAGCTGGGAATGAGCGGTCATTGACCGGCGGTGGAGCTTGTCTACTGGGGCGAGGATGAGGTGCGTAAGGGCAGCCTCTGTAGTTTGCTGGGTGGCCTGTTTGTTTACACAGGACACATACGGGTGGGGATTCGGCGTCTTTGGGCCGAGGACATTCTTTGGTGTTGTGGGGTTCAAGGCACTTAACGCAACTGGGTGGGGCGGAGCAGTTGGCCGCCGCATGACCATATAGCTGGCAGCGGTGGCACTGCGCCGGGAATCCGCGCCTGTGTGGGGGCTCAACCCTCAATCTCGACAGGCCACACACTGTGCGTACCTGCCGGAAGATGGCTTTTGCCTCCGACACGTTTGTTAGGATGACTAGGGCAAGATTAAACCTTTTGCCCGTTCTGCTGTGCATTTTGTGCACGGCTGAATGGTGGAATAGAACCCACGACTTTTTTTGAAGTTTTTGTAGTCCTTAACCTAACCATGGAGATACTTTCGATTCTGAAAATATAAACCTTTATTGTATTAACAGTCATCTTTTCATTTATACATCATAACCAATTGGAATTTGATGTAAATTTTAACGAAACATTTTTATTAATAAAGGTTACCGTCAGACTATTGGAAAATCTTTATAAATTCCCAGTAGATAGTTTTTATTTGGTTATGAACTCGTATGTAACTTCAAGTACTCACCAAAAATCCCCAGTAGATGTTTATAACAATATAATAAAACTGGTATTTCCTTTTTAATTTAGTTTTGTTACACTCTTTAAGACAAGTTTTTTTTAACAGTTTAACCTCTAAATAAGTTTCAACCTTACATCGGCTAATACTTTCATACTGCGCACATGAAATTTAAATTGAAGTACAAACAAACTTACATTACACCTAAAGATAAATGACTACGGCAGTCCATGGAGCTAACTTCATATAAACATGGCTATGGATGCGTTCCAATCACTCTATACCTCCGCCTACAATTATAGCTCTCATTAACCTTCAGACCGGAACAATATAGTACAAGCTCCCACACTTTGATTATATACCTGATATAATCCAAGCTCTCACACAAGTGCCAACACTCTTAGTCAGAAATAGAATTCTAAAGTTAAAGTTACAGCCTATATACGTCCCACTACTGAGCACAGGCCTCTCCTCATTTCTGAGAGGGTTTTAGGGCAAGGAAGTGTCCGCCGCGCTGCCCCAATGCGTGTTGGCGAACTTCACATGTCTTCGAAATATTTTTTTCACTCTTATTCCTCAGACATGCAGGTTTCCTCACGATGTTTTCCTTCACCGCCGAGCACGTGGTAAATCAGCACTTAAAATTGCAATTAACAATTTCATTGGTGCCGGCGGGGATCGAACCCGGGTTACTCGCGTTCTGTTATATTTACTGCGAGCGTTAACCATCTGAGCTACCACGGCTCAATAGAATAGAATAGAATTCTACCACCTATTAAATTCTTTATCAATTTTAGACATTGTTTCGAGGAGAGGCATAAATTTATATTAGCGGCAGCATCAACCTGCCGTCGGGTGGGCTACGTGCTCGTTTCTCTTTACGAGTAACTGCATGTAAAAAAATGACGCGACAAACATACGATGTCACACATGCAGATGCTCTTTACTTATAAATCAAATTTTGTTTACGTATTCCTTTTATGTTTTGCAGTGCAATCGCCAAACCTATCTCATCCATTCCATCTACATGGTACACCATACAACGTTATCGGTATGGGACGATCGCCGGACAAAAATATTAAGAAGATCAACCTAAAACATGCACTAGATTTAGACAGAAAGGGCTTGTTGAACAGACAGTACAATCTTCCTCCATTTAAAGACACAGTGGCTGTACCAAACAATGGCTATGTTGTTTTAAGACTGAAAGCTGATAATCCAGGTATTTAAACGTGTTGCTATCATTCAATTTCCTTTTTTAATATTCTAGGTAATATCTATTAATGGTTGGTCAAGCTGGTGGAACTCATTCATTCATTGCAGCCCTTCATCAGTCCACTGCTGAACATAGGCCTCACGCAAGGATGTAGCATTCCTTGCGTGAGGCTACAAAGCACGGTGAGCCACCTACATCCATCGACTTCTTGCCTCTCTTACTAGGCCGTCACTCCATCTACTGAGGGGCCGAGCTACACTTCACCTACCGGTACAAGGCTGCTGCTCTAGAACCTTTCTTCCAGCTACATGGCCGGCCCATTTCCATTTCAGCTTAATAATGCGTTCGGCTATGTCGGTTACTCTACTCATTTTTAAGTCTACCACGCAGAGAAACCCCGAGCGTAGCCCTCTCTACGAGTATAGCTAGTTGAGCGACCTTCAGCTTCCTTATACGACGAGCAGTGAAAGACCTCATCTCAGATCCATAGCTAGTGGAATGGTATGAGCAAAATATTTGTTTACATTGTAGAGCCGTGCTGCAGCTGTATTAGTAATATAGTTGTAATACGAATGGGTCGGCTTGACCGCGAAATAGTAGCTTAACGCTGCTGTGATTTGTATGGTGAGTGTAGACAACCAGAGACCATTATTACTGAAAACGAGGCATTCCATCTTAGTCCTCAGGGGTGACAACGCATCTGCATTTTGATTCGTAATCGAGGATAGATGTAGATGGCTATGGGCCACAGTAAACACTTACCATCAGGTGGACTGCTTGTTTGTTATCCTATCCTATTTAAAAAAATACGCAATTATATTTGTACTCATCCTTGCTTTTTCTTTATCGATAAGGATCTTTCGTGGTAAAGTAAAAGGGATCCTTAATTACAGTGTCCGATGAAAGTATTTTACCTCCTAATTGGGGAAGTTAAAATAAACCCAAAGATGTTCAACACTTGTTTTTCAAATGTGAGCTAAATATCAGAGAAAGGCAAATATTATATCAATACAAAAATGGCAATGTTGTGGACATGGGAATTTTTAATGGCATCTTATCTTCGCCGAGCTCTGTCTAAAATGGCTTTTAACTTTATGTTTAATTGTTTAAAGTAGTTGTTTTTTATCGTAGTAGTTTCTATTATTGTAGCATTGTATAAAAATTAGTTTACAATGGGGCTGGCATAATTGTAAGTATGATTAGTAATAATAAAAAATACAGTGCAAATTCAACAAATTATTGAATCCAGCTATGAAAACTGTAACAATAGTATATCATTTCTGTAAAATTTAAGTGCTTAACCTACTTCTCGTGAGATTCTGATATTCTGTAAACTGAGCCACTCAGAAATTTCAAGGAAAGACTCGTATAGAAACTCTACGTTTTGTGATCAGCGTAAGGGTAATTAATAGTATGATATGAAAACCAGATTTACTGTATAGCGCAACGGATCAATAAGCTTGAGCAGCAATGGGCCGGCCAAATAGTCCTCGTCCATCACTTTAGATGAAACTACGACCTTCCAAGAGATGCAGGAAGTCGATGGATGCAGGTGGCTCAGGATCATGTTTCGTGGCATTCGTTGGGAGATCTATGTTCAGCAGTGGACTTGTAAAGGGCTTTATTGATGATGAATATTAAATATACAGCACAACAGTTTGGGAATTTGTCTCACGTATGACAAAGATAAATATATTAGGGGCCTCGCTAGTACTCTCTAATTTATAAAGAAATGTGAAAACGTATGATGCGAAGTCAACTCGAAGAACCGACAAACGATTAGCTATTACCGATTAGTTCTCGAGTGGCAGACTCGTACCAGTAAGCAAAGGTCCCCCACCAGATAGAGTAAAGATCTGGTAAGACATGCAGGAAGTCGATGAATGCAGGTGGCTCAGTACCGTTCTTTGTGGTATTCCCTGGAAAAAGCCTTTGTTCAGCAGTTGACTTGTGAAAAGTTGTGATGATGATAATGATTAGGTTAATAAGTTCGCGAATGGTGGCGAATAAATAGTAGTTATTCTCCACACGCTATGGGTGTTATAGTAAAATTAAACTAAGAATTACTGTTACCTTCTTAATATATATTCTCCTTAGACCCTCGTTTAAGTAAATGTACATTTTCAAATAGGTTGATGTAACTTAAAAAAAGGTTACTTGTGTTTCTCCTTTAAATAGAAAAAATTCGCGCACTTAACCAATTATAACTTAATACCGACCAATTTTTTCGCCGCTTGTTCTATAACATTTTTATTATATAGTAATTTCTAAGGGTCTAAAAATCTGCTTAGCTAATCAGCTTTAGCAACATATGCCTTATACTCATAGCGTGGTCGTACAAATACAGAATGCCTTCGTTACGTAATTTTTTCCTCTGACATGTTTTTACAAACCTTCATAAATTCTCGGGTTATTTATGTAATAAAATACCTCCGAATTTAAAAATAAAACGTTGTACTCGAATTTCCCGGCCGATTAGGAGACTAAACTTCTTGCGGGTGGAATAACTTTAACCATGTACCATTGCATCAAGGCTTGCTTAAAAATAAGATCATAATGATAAACCCAAGCGCTAACTTATTGTCTTGGCACACATTTAATTTTTCTTCATAATTAAAAGTAACATTCAAGCGTATTATTTGGTGAAATCTATAGAAGGAATAAAAAAATGAACAGCACACTATTTACATAATTTTTTTTCAGGCTACTGGTTGTTCCACTGCCACTTCATTTATCATATAGTCATCGGGATGAATCTGATATTACATATCGGTACGCAGCAAGATCTACCGCCGGTGCCTCCCAATTTTCCCAGATGTGGTCACCATTTGCCAGCCATTACGCCTGCTTACTTCCCAATACTTCATTGAAAATGGCAAATTTGTTGGCGCGGCCAAACTCCTAAATGGTCCTAAAGGTTCTACTAAATAAAAATGCGAACGAATGACGCGGATGAACTGAAAATCCGAACTGCCATATGCCGTCGTAACGTTAAAGCGTTTTGATGAACGAAAACTATCATTATTATGTGTTTCTTGTAAATAATTCTCTAAATAGAATTGACCTAAGATGTTTATATCAGTCAGGTTTTTGCAGCAATTTTAGAAGACCAAAGTTAAAATTGAACTAACTTAAAATGTACTGCAATTATTTATTTTTGATAAAACCTTCTTTTTTTTTCATCTAACACATTGATTTATGTTTTTGTTGCTTGTTTTGTAGTTTTATAAATAATAAGTTTTAAGTTTAGTGGTAATGTTCAATGAACAATAAATTCAAGAGTTAGTAGAATTCATTGTAGCTGAAAATATTTCAACGGGGAAGAAGATTCTCTGTGAACTAGTAGAAGTAACCTTATTAATATGGTCTACCTTAAATTCCTAACGTTCCTTAAATGCTTTACGGAAGACTAGGAACCGTAACGGCCGTTACAAATCCTAGTTCTTTGGACTCTATTAAATTCACAGTGGTATAAATAATTTTTTCACTCTTTGTGGAGTTGCAGCAAGTTGCTCACAAGGCCGATGTTTTATTTAAGCTGGATTTCCTACCTTGTAACAAATACTTGCAAGTCTCTTCTCATAAATATCAACCTAATTTAATTTTCTTTACCTATTTCATTTTTTTTTCATCGGCCAAATATTTTCATACGATAATAAGTAAATAAGACTGATACAAACACTAATCGTATATTATAGTTTAAGACGATAGCATAGTTCTAACAATGCTTAATTTTATAAAATCATAATACAGTTGTTTTTTTTTTCAAATAAGACAATACAAGCATTTTGATTTTGTATCCATCATAAGTTATCTTTGTTAAAATGTTATTAAGGAAAAATTAAGTAAATGTTATTCATTGCTTAAGATATCCAAAATTTAAAAGCATAATTATAAATCTCGCTTAAGTCTAACATAGGTTTTGTAGCTTAAAATAGTAGATCTGACACAGGGTAGCATTTTTCCTTAAAATATACTGCTGTGGTAGGGATGCCACGAAGGACCTACGTTTACTAACTTATATTATTATTTTCCTATAAAACTCAATATTTTACATGAACTCCCTGTTCCAGTTACTTATAATACGTATACCTGTAAGTGTACGTTATGATTGTGTTGATTACATTATTTTTTTACAATTAAAAATATAGTCATGATGAAATTAAAATATAATAAAAAACAAAATTGTCTTTTAATATAAATTACCCTAAACGTTCGAATTTGTGAAATTAAAATCTTTCGCTGTTGTTTCATTAAAGATTCATTTTGGTCTTAAGTGAAACAGCATTTTCGTGTATACTAACTTTCAGGTAGGGGAACATTCAAGTGCCAGGCAATGGACACGTCTTGTTTCTTTATAAAAACCATTACAAAAAGCGTTGGAATAGGAGGAAGTTAATCCCACTTACGCGCCTTACAGTAAAATTATAAATAAACTCCCATTCTTAATGTTGCAGCGCTGAGTGCCGCGGGGTTGAAACCCGCGCGGAACACGTATTTGTATGGCCTACAAAAAATTTATTCGTGTCTAGATATTTGTCCTTGTGAAATTTATGTATGTAAACTGAATCTACGATACAAGAGAAAATCCTAGGGAGTAACGTTTATAAATAAGATTATATATGAAATAAGAATAAGTTTTGCGGTAAATGGGTCATGTGCGACGTCATTTTCATATGTTTTTCTGTAATTTTACATATTTATATTACATTCTACAAGCAATCGTGAGAGACTAATGTATATAATAATAAATATACTCTCACTCTGTTTCTCTTTCTCTCTCTCTCTCTCTCTCTCAATTCACTCCCTCTCTCTTTCTCTCTCTCTCTCTTTTCACAGAGACAAATATAGAGATTTTAAGCTATTGCATAGCTTCTATCGCGGGCCTTGAGTGCGGGAAAATCCAGAAATTTCGTAACGAAAAAAAACCTCACGCTCTCCGACGGGCACGGAGGTGTGGCTTGAAGACCGTGCATTGTCTAACGATGGTCTAACGTCGTTTCTTTTCCTCAGTCTTCGACACGGTGTTTATGTATAAAGTGTTTTGAAATTTTGAATATAAATGAACAAAGTGCATTTATTATTATTAAGGCTGCTCTCTCGCAAAAAGCTTGAAAAAAGCGTGCAGATGAACCAACTTTTCGTCGACACTTACAGAGAAATTACATATGAAAAAAATAGCTAGTAATCTACATGATCTGATACGTAATTTGGTTTAGCCATAATTTTTCTATCGGTGTCACATAATAAATAAAAAAATACCCAAATCACCTCCAAATCGTTGAGATGAAACCACTTTACTCCTTCATTGTTTATCAAAGGAATATAAAAAAAGTATCTACTGCTTTGCAATACAAAATAAAATAATTTGGTTTGGTTACTTTTTTAGAAATATGTATTATTTTTAAGATAATAAATTAAAAATACGTCCCGATTAAATACTGCGTCTATATCACCTCCGCATTCGTCCACGAATTCAGTGCGGGGCGCATCGTGTTGCTAGGTGGACGTACGCCACGTTGCGAGAGCTCAGCACTACGAAATAAAATCGTAAAATATTACTGCAAAAATTTAATTTCGTTAATAGTGGAGTAGGTTTTTATATATTTTTATGGAGTAAGGGTGACAAATAAGCATACAGTCCATTAACTTGTAAGTGGATGCTGTCGCCCATAGATATCTACATCAGTTATCGATTAAAAATCAAAATGTAGACGCGTAGTCACCTCCGAGGACTAAGATGGAAATGTCTAATTTCTAATACCAAACAGTTTCGTTTCTCTTCTTAAGCATATCATGTTCTGTTGTTCTGCTGCTCCTCGCCGGTCCGAGTATTTTAATTCTTATGTAAACTAAATAGGTGTAAACAAGATGGGCATTGGCTTTATGCCATCTATCGGAAGCCATAAAAGTTTTCTGTCGTTGACTGTTATCGTCTTTTACGACACCCATGGGATCCAAAGGGGTGATGGCTCATGGTTCTATTACACCGCCACCACGTGGCTCAACATTAGTTAAATAGCAATCAGCAAACATTCTTAATTTAGAAGATTACAAGATATATTTAATTTTATTTCATTATGTGACAAACAATTTTTTTCGTTATAAGAGTTACTCCATTTATGGCACATGTCGCGTACCTATGTTTATAATTAAAACAGGGTCTTTATGCGTTAGACGGCGCATGTTAGCATTATATCTCTCGGTCGTTCGGTTTTATTTTTTCCCGTTCATTTATTTTCCAACAAATATTGCCTTACTTTCATTTCATCTGTTTATGTCAGCTTTATTGAGATGATAATATGTTACAATAAAACTATCAATTTTTTACCCCAATTGAAAATGCCGTCGCGAATCCAAACTAATTAATGCTACATTAGCTTAAGTTTTTTTACGTCCATTTATGTGAACATTCTGCATTTATTTTAAAAGGAAAACAAAGTCATGTATCCACGTCAGAGTTATTTATTGAAGGAGGAAGCATGATATTTGCATAACTTATAACTAAACACATTGGGATGAGTTTAATATTCAGTGAATATGAGATATACATATTTTCGTATACAAAATATTATATATATTGGATTAAAACAATCTTTAGGTTTTTCGGATGCTAACAAGGAAAAATACGTTTATGTAGTATGAGAAATATATTATTATTCTTCAGCCTCAATAATTAATTGGTTTTCAGTTGAAAACGGACCTAATCTTTATAATCGATTTTTTTTTAAATTGCTTTGCTTGTCAGACGGACTTGCAGGGATATAATTGCAGTTCACCATCTTACACATTTAACAAATCTGAAATTATTATAACGTTATCTTTCGTCATGAAAGTTCCGAAATCTGTTTAAATGAATTCAATCACTTAGAATATTTATCACATTGTTGTACTTTTTTAATTACGCCCGAACACAATACACATATTTTTTTTATATCGAAACCATTGTAGAAGGTAGGTTCATCTTTCTTTACGGATTCCTTCAGTGGCCTGAAATGCCAAAGTTGCCGAAACAACAGCGTTACTGCCTCTTTCAGGGCTACAACCGATATATGTATTAATTTACTCTGCGCTTATGTGAGTGTCCTAAGTGGGATATGAGTAAATTCTTCTGTATTTAAAGTTTTTATAACTGTTGTTTATTTAACAGAACATGCAGATGCATTAAGCATTAAGGAACAATTATTCTGGTTCAAAGATGTTTCTTTTGAAAAGAATTCTACAATGAAAGCAGTTATACAAAATAGCAGTAATTGTATTTAGGTTTCAATTTTTGCGTTTGAAGCGAGGCGAGCTACTACTACTAAAACTTAGTGACAAAATAGTTAACAGTCAATTCAAAGTCACCGGTAAATGGCTAGATATAGGTTTTCATCCTTGAAAAATGTTGAATGATTATTTTCTATAAATTTTTATAACTGTAAATAAGCGTGTTCATTACTATACAATGTAATATGCTTCTAAAAGCCCAGTATGGACAGGGTCTCTCCCGTTGTAAAAAGATCTGTCCTGATCATCACGCTTGGTCGACCGATTGACGATCGCAGTGCCGGATGTCTCGCTAATTTGGCGCTGTTTCTAATCGCTTATCTGAATATTGAACATCTCGCGTAAATAAAGATAGCGTGGGTAGTAAAGCTGACATACTACTATTTATTGAAGGCTGAGAGGTCGTAATAACATATTATTTTCCCTTGCCATTGTGTGAATATTATTAAGCCTTCATTGCTGATACTAAGCGTTATATTTTTTAACATAGTAGCTAATTTTTTCAACTTATAATCTAGCACATTTTAGTGGTCAGCGTGTCCTGTGACACACATGCCTCTTCTAGCTCTTTCAAATCTTGTCTATTGTTAGCTTTTTTAAC